CGCAGTCTGCGGCAGTACTGGTACACCTCGTGGCCTGATCAGAAGACTCCAGACAAGGCTCCACCTCTTCTGGAACTGGTGCAGGAAGTGGAAAGGGCTCGAGAGGAAGCCCCGCCCTCCAGTGGCCCTATAATTGTCCACTGCAGGTGCAAAAGCTTATTTATGATATAGGGACAACTAAGGGTGATAAGTTTGTCAAAAAGTAAAACAATGTTTAATATAGGCTATAGCCTACATGCAAATATTTTCGCTCAATGGTGTGTTTGTAGAGACATGTTTTGCTGGCAATTATTGTACATTTGGTTTTGCGTACCATGACCGGGACAAATAAAATGAAAAAGGGAAAACTGCCCAGTTTCATATCAGAGGGAACACTTGTTACTGCTGCCCTTTGGCCCTTTGGCATCAAATGAATGGGATCATTGCTAATCAATACAGCAATCCATTTTTTCCTGCGTCCCTTTACCTGTCCAACTTGTTGCCCTTAGTGCTGGAATTGGACGAACTGGCTGCTTCATCGCCACCTCCATCCTGTGCAAGCAGCTGAGGACTGAGGGTTCGGTGGACATCCTGAGAACCACCTGCCAGCTCCGTCTGGACAGGTGAGATTTGCTTATCCGTTATCCATGCTCATGTCTATCTTTAGTTCTTGGCATGAAGTCGTTTTGTTTATGGAAAAAGAGCCTTGTTGACGTAGATCCACCTGATCTGGATTCAAATCACTGGGAGCTAAAGATGGATTGGTTTAATCCAAAATAGAACTGCTGTGAACATCTTAATATGCATGGGACTATTAACCTGTGTGTTATGGCACTTTAAGATATTATATGTAACATTTGACATTATTGTCGAAGTTCAATTGACCATATATTTCCAACAATATATAAACCTAGAATTCCATCATTATAATCAAGGTAACCTTCCACGTCCATTTCGTTTGGTCACAAGTATTGGTGATTATTTTTGCCAGAAAATGGCAGGATTTTAAATTTTATCCAGTTTGAAGCCGCATTTTTATGAATCAATTTAAATGTTGGTCCTTTAAAATTAAATATTTAACCTGGAAAAAAGTGTTTAGTTATAGTTAATAGAGAAACAAGCTGAGCAGTGTTGGAGAAGCTCTGATTTTTTTATGTGAAACTCCTTTATTTACCTGTGTTAATAACCTAGTCTGTTTGTTTTGGAGAGGAGAAGACTCTCACTCCCAGGATCCCACACTCCTTCACAGTCATTCATCTCTTTGTTTATCGAATTGATTGAGAGACCCCTAGTGGCTGGCATACATATCGCATGTTGAGGTAAAATGCATTGTGTTGATACTCGGCTGATAAAAATAAAGGGCAAGTCCTGAATTTTGTTGGTGACATGGCCAAGATTGTAAGACTGTCAGCGAATCAGTGATGCCTGTACAAACTTTAGATACAAATCTGTCATTTTAATGATGATGTTGATATTTCACTGTATTAATGACAATTTTGATTGGACGACACACTTCTTCTTTGCACAAATTCACTGCAGAGCATTGAATAGTTATTCAGATATCTCTGTCTGGAACAAAGTGATAGACTGACTGACTGACCATTGTGCGTGTGTTTCTTTCTGTGTATGTTTCTCAGGGGTGGGATGATCCAGACGGGTGAGCAGTACCAGTTTGTGCATCACGTCCTCAGCCTGTACGAGAAGCAGCAGTCTCACACCGCTGAGGAGTAGAGTGAGCGTACAGCAACACCCAGATCGAGACACACCACTGTACACTGTACCGCCTCTGGTGGTACGCACCACTGTACCTAGCATCATCTCAATCTCACCCTTTAACAAGGTCAAACTATGTTAATCTCTTCACCCAAGACAGGCCCGCTCAGACAGGACTGAATGGCTCACATGAAATATGTGCTTACTGTATGTCTTGGAGCAGAACAAACAAAGGGAGGTGGAATTGGAAATAGCCCCCCCGAAAATCCTGTTCACACAAAATAATCCAAGCCCGCACTTCTGACACAATTTCAGTCCTACTGAGATTTTATTATCACGTAACTGTTAATAAGTCTCAGTCGTTATGGCCTCTTCTAGTAATTAGGCCCCCTCAGATACTGTCCGTACAGTTATAAAATATTGAACTGGACCTAAAGTATAATCAGTCTCTTAAAGTTGGTTTCAATAAAAAAGGGACTCTAAGTGCCAGCATCATTAAAATCTACAGAAATGATCATGCCAGCCTAATAACAAACACTATAAGATACAATTTAACCAGCATCCTTTTTCATTGACCATCACTGACCCTCAATTTCAATGTTAATTAAAAAATCATTACAGAAGGCCTGTTTCAACTGCTGATTCGTACAGGAACCTCATTTTCAGGTTGCATGGTGTTAAGTGTTATTAAAGGCATGTGCAATGTTATGGAACATAGGAATGTATAACAATTAGGTTTTTAATGAACTAATTAGGATTTCTCTGCAATCTACAGTATTACAGTTTTACCATGCTGCCCGTGCAGTCCTCATGGCCCATGATGTTTACAGCAAACAACTCCTACATTAAGGCCTCATAGACGTACACTCAGAGGCATCACAGAGCCAGGGACACTGAGGGGACAGTGGCTTGAAATAGAATCAGACAGTCAGACAAATCAATGCCTAATCAAAAGCTCTGGAGAATCTGGCATGTAGACGAGGGAAAGTGTAATGCAGAGTAAAGCAAAAATGTTGCGACAAAAAAAAAGCTACATAAATTGATGAACGGTGGTCCCCTACACCTAATCCTCTTGTAAATGTCCCAATACTCTCATGATCGGCCTCAGAGTTCCATGATCTGTGATGCCTCTGCTTTCAACAGTAGCTTGAATACATCTGTGAAGTAAGACGCCCATGATTGTTGTAAAGACAGGCCAGGCCTAATCTGTATGAAGCACAATAGACCAACTAAGGTTGTCTCTGATGTTCAGCTGTAAAAGTTCCTTTTTTTTCTCCGTATTGTGTTTTGATTGTGTTGAGTTTAATGGATTGCATGTGCTGTATGGGACTCCATAGGTCCACAATCAAAGCGACGTGATTGGTTGTCCTGCTTTTTGTTGTGTAAAAGGGTTTAAGCCTATTATATTGCTTGCTCTCGGCCAATGCTTTTGATACAGTTTGCTTTTGTGAAACCAACCAGAGATATTTTTAGAACATTTTGATACAATCCTTTCGAGTAGATGCCTTGTGTATATTTCCGTTTACACCATGATGGAATGTAGCTCATACTGTGGATCAAACCATTGGTTTATATTGCAAGATTTGACAGAACAAAATGTGACAACTACCTAAGTTACCTTACAGTACAGAAAATAAGTAGATTATGTTCGGTCTTCAGTATTATTACTTTATGCCTTTAGGCTTTGCTTTAATATGCTTTGCTTTCTGTCTATGTTTTTATCTTTTTTTCTTGGAGAATTTTACCTCAGACTGAGCTTTTACCCAGTCTCCAATCGATTCCATCTGTGACTGTAGGCCACTCTCAGTTGACAACACGAGAAATAATTGCTATGTGTAAGGCAGCTAAAACAGTGAAGACAGTTTTCTATGTAACAGACATCACAATCAATCAACTTCTATCTTGACTTAATGCATCAGATCAACAGTCAGGAACATTATCAGAGGATGGAGTTAATTGTGCGGGCTCGGACCAATTTATAAACATCAAATCAACTAGCAAATTAAACTGCCAAAATGACCTTTTACAGGAAAATACGACTGGGACTGATAAGAAAAGCTACAATCTGCTGTTAGACTTTTGACATATTCCTCTGATAATGTTCAGTGTACTCAAATGACAAGCTTTTATTTTGAGTGCTTGTTTGCAATGCTTACATGGTCCTCTGATGATCAAAAATGGGCATGACGAAATAGCCGAACAGTCAGACATACAACCAACCAGCAATCAGTATTCCTCTCCCCTGCTACAGTATGGCTTTAAGTTGTGAGTTTTTGCATCCAAATAAAGGTAGATTTTCATGAATCTGTGTTGCTGTTTCTCTTAATCTCAATCACACAAACACAAGTCCATTTAAACCATAGCACCAAGCTATTTACTATGGTTCTAAATAAACAAATATTAAGCTTGTAATAAGATTGTTTGTTGCCCAAAGCTATGATGGCTTTGTGTCGAGCTGAGAAATGTGACACATTTGCCTGCAGAAATATTCTCCCTTGCATCACAAAGTGCAGTTAAATATTCGTACCACTAGGTGTCAGTGTATGCAATATGAATACACAAACTCCAGTAGATTGTGCACCCTGCATTTGTCTGCTCATTCAGTAACACATATAGCTGGCAGAGCAACAGAACAAAGGCTTTCAATCAAACAAAAGACAATTTATGATACTGAATTCCAACACCCAGCACCCGCTTATTACAACTGCCTTACTCAATGGTTAGTACCAATGTGACACTGCAGATAAAGCTATTTACATTTGTGTAAACAGAGACTAAAAAGTAATAGATCTTTGCAAAAATATTATTGATCTAGTTCTCTTAAAGCCACCCCTTACTTTCCTGTTATTTTGTATGTTAGAAATGAATTTGTTTTAGTACAGAGACACATGTAAACCCCTACATAACATCACCCAATTGTCATCTAAGGAGAGCTCTAATCAGCACCTGTGTGGGTGTGCAGAGCCTTTAAAATCAAAATTGTAAATGTTTAATTGTAAAATACATGGGCGAACCGCAAACTTTGGATGAACATATACTGCAACATTACTATAAAACAATTATTTTAATTTGCTTGAGAAAACAGCTTATTGTGATGATGTTCGTTTATTTCATAATGGTTCATTGCTATGGCAGCACAGTGACTGCGTCTCCTTTAAAAAGCCGAACTGGCCCTTTAATCCGAGGATAAGAACATTGACGTCATCCAGCCCCTGAGCCGCCTGCGCTGATTGGCTCCTGGTGACGTCAACCTCATATTTTCCTTTTTTTCCCTCTCCCAACTGAACCATGACCTCATCGCTTTAGTTCAAGAAAGTGCTAAAGTGCACCTCCGTAACTACACCCCCCTCATCCTCCCCAACACACACACTAACTGTTTTAGCTTAACCTAGCCTAGCAAATCTAATCTACCCGTCCACTGGTCAGTTAAACAGTTTAAGGAGCGGTTTGTTGCTGCATGCTGTCACCGCGCTTTCATGTCTCGTTTGTTCCTGGCGCTGTCACCCTCTGTCAGCTGCACCGTCCCCCGCCACACAGACAGGTAAACACAGGCCAGCCCCATGAAGACACCGCGACTGTCCCCTCACACATGGAGTCCAGTTGAATAACAAACTGGAGCCGCGTGGAGCCCGAGGTGAGTGTTTGTGTATTTTTATCAGCAGGAATGAGACGTAGTGCGTTGCTACCCACAGAGCTAGCTTACGTTAGCAGCGGTGGCTCGCTATCTGTGCTCGTGCACCCCGCTGCTGCTGCGAGTCTGTCAGCGCGCACTCCCCCCTTTATGTGCGCGCCTGTTTTATTATGGGAATTAAACCCGTCCAAACTAAAGTTATCGATTATTTTATTCTGACAAACATTTCCTCGTTTACGGTCCGACCATTTGAAGGTAGGTAGAAAACGTGTTTTTATATAATTTCAGTTTCATTTACTGCAGTGCTGTGTGCAATCATCTGTCGATCAGTGGAGTGGTTCATTTTTGCATGCGGAAATATCCACGCGTCATAACAACACAAGGCAGGTTTCCCACTCAGTGAACCTTTCCATAAACGTGTTTAACATGACTTTGTGATAATAATGCAACGTTTGCAAAGGCAATGGGCGCTGTCTGCATTGTGTTCTATTCTTATTTATAATCTAGGTCGGTTTATTATAGTGCACTACGGTCAATCACCCTCCATCATTGTTATTAACGTTACTAACAGGCCACAATGTTCCATCTATTTCTTTGTGCCCCACCTCTTCATTGGTCACAATATGAGGTTTTGGACTTTTTTCGGGAAGAATTTTACTCGGGCACTATTTTTAGGCCATAAAGTGTATTTTATATCGTGTAGTCTCGTTATTATGCATCAGTATCCATGTCGTAATTATTGTTTTGGTGGACCGCAGGGTAGTCCCAGCTTGTTATATGAACCCACAATCTGCATCAGTCTACTGGGAGAGTATTGATTAAAGTGCAGGCTTTATACCTGAATCTGTTGTTTACAGTATTATGATGCCCACAAGGGCTCCAACCAGGAATTGATTTTCCCAAATTACATGATCACTGTAACAGCACTTCTCATGTTACACTATTTTTTTCATTTATGCCATTTCTGTTTTACACACTCCAGGCCTGTCACTCTACTGACCCCTATTTGAGACTTACCCATTTATTATTTACAACCAGCTGCTCTATTTTAGTGCTATCAACCACATAGTTGCCCTTTAATAAACAAGTGTTTTGAGATAAATAAATAACATAAATCCAATCGGATATCTGGATTATAGTTACATTTGAGTCACTGCACTGAAATAGAGCTTAAACAATACATGCATTGTATATTCTATTAAAAAGATCTGCAACAATTTTGATAATCAATTCATTGTCCTTTTTTATATAAAATAACCAAACATTAGCTACAGTTTTAGCTTCTTTCAGAAAATAAAAACAAAGCACTTTGGGTCTGAAGAAATTGACACTCACTACTTTATCAGATTTTATAGAACAAGTCATCAATCCACTGGTGAAGAAAACAGAATATGTATAACTAAAATATATTTGTGTTGCTGCTCTATACTTAGATTTATTTTAATTTTTATTTCAAAGTAAAACGACCTAATTTGTCATAGAAAATGTTACTGTCAGGAAATAGGTTAGAAATACTCTTATCTAGTTATGTTTAAACTAATCCAGCAGTGTTGTGAAGGCATATATCAAACCCAAACATAATCTTTAATTCTTGTCACTAAATCATTCTCTATAAACTGGTTGCACTATATAATAATCCTTCAGCGGCCGTATGCAGACATTGTTGGCTTTTACCTGCTCTTGTTGTAGTCACATGCTCTGATGATGTCATTGTTTGTGGTCTAAACAAACAACTCATGTCTCTCATTGTATGAAAGGAACAGCTTAGGCTGCGGCCCCAGGTGACGTTATGCAGGGAGTTAATGAATAACCGGGATGCTATTACATCAGCGTTGGTTGCCCTCCAGTTGGTCTCTTTGTGTTTGCCTCTCTGATGTCTGATATGGCATTATTGAGCCATCACCATGCTGAGCTCATGGTTTTGTAAGGCCTATGGTTTATTCATTTTATGGTGATAAAGTCACTTCCCTAAGTTTGTTTTATGGTCCTATTACAACGATTCTTTATTTCATTATCACTCTTTTGTTATCAGCTGTAAAGAGAGTAACCGTAAAGTCTGTTGATGATTAGTCACACCGTCTTTTAATAGGAAGAGTATTGCATCTGTTTTTTAGGCAAATGAGAATAGGTTATACTTGCATCCCACTTTTTTCGGTGGTGTGTGTAATCTCTATAAACTTGCTTTTGATGATGCACAACGGGACATTGCAGTATTTTTTTGGAATTGTCTGCATTCAAATATTCAAATTCTCTTACAAGATATTAAAAATCCTTCAAAGTGAACAAGTTGATCTGGTTGGTATGCCTTCATCAAATTGAGTGTTTACTGCTTGTGTTCATCTTCAAGGTTGTTTTCACATTGACTTGGTGTTTTTAAAGAGCAGTCAGACAGAGGTTGTTTAACAAGACAGATGATACTATATTGCAGTTTCAGCCTGACATGCAGTCAGACAGCTAAAGTTTTGAGAAGGTCTTTTATAAGTATGTACTCAGCATTGTCAGATTTTGCTGTATCCCTTTTTGTATCCTCATCCAGCATCAGCACCAGTAGCATCCCATCACCATCACCCTCCCCGTGCCCCCTGCTCACTCTAACAGGGCTGTTTCTATGGCAACAACAGAATCTGCTCCGGGCCTGTACACACCGTCTCCGTCTCTCTCTCTCTCTCTCTCTCTCTCTCTCTCTCTCTCTCTCTCTCTCTCTCTCTCCTCTCGGCTTGTTTTCCTCTGATCCAGCCAGAGCCTCACAGCAAGCTCCTGGCTGCTGACTATTTTAATTCGAGGAGCTCGTTTGTTTTCACTCTTTATTGTTGCTGATAGGTGGAAGAAAGATTGTTTTGCAAAGGGGGCGGGTTGTTGTTATGCTGAGTAAGCATACTGAGGTTCTTACTCCCTCCCTCTCTATATGATACCTAATTTCACCTTTCCATATTCTGATAATGTCTTGTCTCTATCCCTCTGTTTCATTCAGTATTATGTATAATTTATCTCCCATCATGTCCACACAAAAAGGGTAAGAGTGGGGTTACCGTAGCATGATTATTTGTTGGCGTATTAAGCTGCAGAGTCTCTCCCTCGGACTACCACCACCACACATGTAAACCTGCACACTCCTCCCCTACCCATTCCCTGCACAAGAAAGAAAGAGAGTGATAGAGGAGGAAGGAGGGATTCAGAGAGAAAAAGTGAGAGGCTGGGCGGGTGGTGGGAGAGAGCGGTCGCCATTAGACATATGCAGCGTCAGATGTAGTGCTCAGCAGCAGGGAACAGAAACACAGAGAGAAAGACTCACACCTCTGGAAGCTGTGTTGTTAGCTGCTTTGCTAAAGGGCTCCACGCCATATAAGGTATGATATAACAGGTGATGGGGCAGGTCGTAATGTTGCATGCAGGGGCTTTTTGTGGCGGAGGAGCGCCGGCGCTGCAGCAGGGCTTAATGTTTCTGCAGAATGGCTGCTGGGGTGTACAATGTGGAGAAATGTCACTATGTGTAGTTGAAGAAATATGCAAAAATCTGCATGACACAAAGACAGATTATATCAGATAAACTAGATGTATTTACTATTTATCTGTGTTGCTTTCTTAAAAAACAATATAAGAGTACTGCATTATATACCTTCAGTCGTCATCTACTGACTTTACTATCCTATATTTCATTTAACCAAGCAGTGTCTTTTATGACTTGAATTGTGTCTGCACAGCCATGCCTTTACTATAGCTACTTTCCGATGCAGCAGCAGTCTGGCTGTGTTTAGAGTGCAGACAGTTGCTACTGTCTATCTCCATGTCCTCCCATGTTCCTGCTGCTAGTCTTGCATCAGGAAGGTTGCCAAGCAGCATGTGCACATCTATGTTCAGGTTTGGCAGCCTGTAGGGGACATAGTATGGGTGAATAACAAATATTTGTTATTGTACACCATACCTCATAGCAATGTTTTGAATATAAAGGTTTATTAGTTTTAGCCATTTGTCTTTCCTTTCTATTTCTGTTGCTCCTCTTTTCCCTGTATGTGTCTCTCCCTGTTATCAGAGGTGTCTTTCTTTTCATCTCACTCCTCCCTGCTACATCTATAGAATTGTCCCCTCCCTTACCTTGAGATGGCTGAGTTGCTAGGCTGGAAAGATCCTCATTGAATAACATCCTTTGCTACCCCCACCCTCTCCTCTCTCTCCTCCTCTCTCCATGGCAGTGGTGGTGTCAGAACAGAGGTGAAAAGTCTCAGAGCTACCTGGACGTTAGTTTCTTCACATCTCCTTTCTTTCAGTCTCTGTTTCCCGCCCACCTTCTAACCTTTGCACCACTGTTCTGCTTCAAAAAGACCGGTTTTTGTTTTGTTTAGTTTTTTTGACATCTCCCCCAGTAAGTTCTTCTCTTATGAAACTATGTGTTGCTGATATGATTGATTTCATAGTGTTCAATCACGCCAACACTTTAGGAGCCTACTTTATCTCACTTTCTGTTTCCACACCATCCCATCACACTCTCCCTTTTCAACCGAGGTTTAAACCTCCATTTAGGCTTTGGGGTAAATGAGAGGAGGCCCATTCATTTTTGATGACACCATGTGCCTGTAGATGAATAAAACAACACGACTGCATTCACATCCTTACCTTCACCTGTTGAACGACAATGTGGTTGACCAAAGAAACGAGCCTTATCCTACACAGGTTTTTCTCTGTGGGTTTTTTGTCATTTTCGTGTGTGTGTGTGGTGAATATATGAGTGTGGTGGTGAGCATGAGCAGGGAAAAATGATTACCAGTGATAGATTGGAGGAGGCAGTTCATCAAGTTTGTGGACGGCTCTCTGTAACACACACGTACTGTATACACACCCACACTCACAAACACATTCACACGCACACACATACAAAGGATGTCACACAGGCTGTTTGCCTGTGTCCAGACCTGCTCTCTGAATTCCCCTGGCTTAATTTATCTCACGCCCTCAGTTTCCTGTTTCATGGGCTACCAAGAGACCCTCGATCAACAACAACCACGCTTATGCAGACACACACACACCCACACAACACACACAACACACACACACACACACACACACACACACACACACACACACACGCCTTTTATCGTCTATCTTAAGTCCTTGGCTTTGTATTTAGATGCGTGATATTCCTTCAGATCTCAGGACTGATAAATCCCAGCGGATTATCCAGTCGGCTTTTAAGCCTTGAAATAACTTTTATATTCATGTTTGGCATTGTGGCTATTTTAATACTCAAGGTGCTCAAATGCTGACAGTAAAAGATGATACATATGTATAAAAATACAACGAGCACCTGACTGTGGTTGGGAAATTAATGCGCAATAAATCCCGACATTGCTTGTCAAACTGGCATGGGTGGAGTAAAGCTCAAAAGGAGAGGCGATCATGCTCATGCTGTCTGATCATCTGCTGCCTTGCCATCAGGAAATAAGCAATTGAATGCCATGCTTCCTTACACCAGTGTGATTTCTTTTTTTTTTAAATCCTTTTTTCTCTTCTTCTCTCTTTGTCTCCTCTTTCTTCAGGCACCATGGATCTGTCAGCACCTGCTCCGGTGGTAGCCCTCCTCCACTGACCTCACCTCCTCGACCCCATCTCTCCCTCCACCTTCCCTCTCTCTCATCGACCCCTCTTCCTCCACGCCCAATCCCTTGCTCTCCTGTGTCTGTGACCCAGGGTGACTGCTACATCATGGCAGGAGAGAAAGGGCCGACTAAGCGGAGTGCCATGGACATCAAGCGCCTGGCGAGCCTCATCCAGAGAGGAACGGGGCGTTTGCTGGTGATTGACAGCAGGACATTTTCTGAGTACAATGCATCGCACGTGCAAGGCGCGGTCAATGTCTGCTGCTCCAAGCTGGTGAAGAGGCGACTGCAGCAGGACAAGGTGTCTGTGACTGAGCTGCTGCAACCCAACGGCAAAGTGAAGGTGAGGTGAAGCTCAGCAGAGCAGACAGTGGGTGCTTTTGTGTGGAAGGATGTGATGCCAGTGACCACACTTTCCTTTTAGTTTTAAGGCTGGATTGCGTTACTTTTGTGTTTGCACGAATGAAACAACCAATATATTTGGAGAGGTTAACAGTATTTATACCAATCTCAAGCAACTGACTGCAGGTTGTAGCATTATATTGACCATACACACATGACATCCTCCTATCTAACTTTCCAACTGAATGCATATCCTAACATGTTGTACTGTTTCTTAAAAGGTTTAGCAGTAGTCCATTACTTTTATGATTTAATTTCCATATCTTAAGTGCTTGGTCTGTTCCTTAAGCACAGACCAACAAAACCCAAATTCTAAATATTCAACTTTAAAAATACACGGGTACTAGTAGACTTTGGGGATTGACAAAATATCCTGTGACATACAAAGCAAAAAGAATAAGCAGAATTAGCACGAGAAGCCATTAAAGGAATACAGCATGGACTGTGCAAAATATTTCGGTCGTTGTTTTAAAGGGACATTAAAACGAAAGGAAGCTGAAGTGAGCAAGACATCGCTTCGTGACATCTGCACGGGTTTGTCAGAACATTTCCAACAGCTTTGCCCATGTACCACGGTGGCTCTAGATTGGCCTCCTGTGCTAGTCCAAGCCTGCACCACATCAGTGGGTGCTATATTTGGCGGGTAGGCAGGCGTACTGTAGGTTTGTTGCTTATCAGTGGCCCTGAAATCGGATCCTCTTGTTTTCCATGACTTCTCCTCTGAATATGACAGCCTTTTTTCCATGGCCTGTCCACCCGTGGCATGCTGACTTCTGTATTTTTAGTCGCCGTGTGAAACTGAAGGAACTCTAAGAGGGGAAACCTAAGCGGGAGGGGTAAAAGGTTGTGTGTTTTATTTGTGGGATGTGTTTCGTGCACTCATGTACAGTAGTAAACATGTGCATACATCTCCCAAAATCTTTGGCAAGATCTAGCAAACCCATGAACAAAGCTGTGGAGGTGGTGGACGAGAGTCCTTCTTCCTGGCTGCACTCACTGTCCAAATTGTATTTTTAGGTATCCATTTAACTTTTAAAGCATGCTACACCCGCAGCAATAAAATGCTGATTCATGGAAGCCAATGACACATAGCAGGTGATTGAAATGTTTTTCTTAGGTGTGACACATCGGGTTTGTTTGTTGTTTTACTTCCTGGTTGCCAGGAATCTGACCTGTACTGCAGCCCAGTCTGCAGAACCTACTTATCAGTGTGATTTATGATCTGCTCCCATTTTATGCCCTTTAAATACTGTATCAGTTCTTAAGCGGTCGTGAGAGAACTGACTCTTTATTTCCATTTTGTGCACAGAAACACACCCCACCAAATGGTAAATAATTACACATGATTGCTTTAGATTATTGCTTCCATTGTTGTTGGGTTACAGTTCACACCTGTAGGTGACTGACACTCCTTGTGGTCAGATGGTAAAATGTAGGAGAACTGTGGATCATTGTTGCTTTCTAACGTCAAACTGCTTTGGGTTCAGTTAATAGCGTCTGTATAATTGCAACATTGGCTGAGAGTCCCCGTGCGCCTGCTGTTTCTCACCGGCTCTCTGTTATACCAATTAGTTTTAATTCAGCTTTATTGCGAGGGCTTCTGGCAGTCAATCACACAAGCGGTTCTTCTAACTCAAAATGTACCTCTATTAACTCGACAGGGATCTTGCGTAACCCCTCTTGTATGAGTGCATTCTGCCAGCCTGAGATACATGCAAAGATGCTGCAAGGCCTGAAGGCCACACAGGAGTTCCTGCCTCCTAGAAAGGGTGACTCATCCCGACCGAGAGATCCAGATTCTCCCAGATAATGGTTTTATTTTGGATGCTTATGATGCATGACCTACTGTTGTAGTCAGAGAAAAATAACAAAAGTAAAGCTGGAGAGCTGTGAAGTGTGAGATGTTCTTTTTGTGTGTGTTTCTAAACTTTCTATGCTGAGTCTATTGGGTCTGTCTCTGTGTTGGGCCCTGTGGTTGTTAGGTCTCACACTGTGGCTCCCCATAGAGCTGTGCTTCCTACTCATTTCTCTCACTTTCAGTCTCATGACAGCTCCGTCAGTCTGTCCGTCTCCAACAACCGTAGCCCGTAGCCTCCCACCCGGATCCTGCTTCATTATCATTTATTCCTTTTTCCTCCCTATCTCGTGTTGCCCCATGGCTGGTTTGTTATTATCCATTCCCCACCCCCAGTAAAGAGGATAAGGCTTGCGATTAATGCTAGGCTGGATAAAGCTGGAACTAGCCGTGTGAGAGAGGAGGGCCCGACGGACCCAGACTCTTTTGTTATTGGCTAAGCATGACATCATCTCTTTTGTGCGGCCACTGGCAGGCCGCGAGCTGGGCACGTGCAGACGGGCTGTGCGGTGTTAAAGCTGGCTCCTAGCTAACCCCATACACACACACGCACCATCCTCTCTACCCCCCACATGGCTGTAAGCATCGCCAGGAGCCGCCAAGACAGCAAAGGACACCATTGTGGCTCTTTGTTGGTGAAGTGAATGCAGGAAGCGGGAGAGCAGCACTGAGGGTATTCATGGTTGGGCTGCAGCCTCCTCCTCCTCGCTGGCTGCTTCCCGCCTCACATCCCATTGAGCACTAATAGCCTGCATCCCCCAAGGCGCTGCACTCACCCTCTTTCATAGGAGCTCCCAACGCTTCAGTTAACTGAGCTGAATGAACATCCATGACCAGTGTAGCAGCAATCAAAATGGTGTCCGCTTTATTCTCCCATTCACATCCCATCCCTTCATAACCTCTTTATTAAAGCTCCATCTTAATGTAGGGCACAGAGAGCTGGACACTGCAGGTTAGGTGGTGGTGGACCTCTGCTGGGAGAGGGACGGCACAGGCTTAGTCTGGAGCGGGGCTTCCTCCTCGTTCTGACAGGCGGCTGGTTTCTTGGCTTAAGCCCGGCTAATCACTGCTGCTGTGACGGGGACAGCCGGCCAGGCAGGCCTGACAGATGGACCAGAGGTTTTCACTACCAGCAGCCAGCATGGAGAAGCACCCTGTATGTAGACATAGAGGCCAGGCCTCTGAGCAGAGACAGACTTTACTATTCCAAGCTGTCACATGCTGGACTGCCATAAATAATTATGATTGCAAAGAGGTTTCAAGTCTTAGTTTTGTATTTTGTGTTGGGGAAAACACAAATAGAGCCTTACGTTTGGCTGTGATTCAGCAGTTTTTAACTTTAAAATCTGCTGGATCTGCAAGCTGAAGGGGGCTTGTAGTACCAGACACATATGACCTATCCACTATCAAATGTAATTTTTTTTTTTGTCATTGTCCTTTTTTGTGCTTGTGCTAACAACATCTTATACCAATGAGTTCCACGCATTGTGGTTTTAGATCTATGAATTTTTGTCAAATCAAAAATAATACTGGAATCATGACTGGAAAGGAAAATTGGATATGTGAATTGTTATTTTCTAATTGTAAGCTGACCCTTTTTCCATTGATTTAAAGAAATAATAATACATGTTATGTATTGAGTTCTATGGCACTCAAAGACACTCTACAGGGTAACATTAATCAATGTTGATTAGTCAATTAAACGTTGTAGATTAAAACATTTAGTCATTGATTCAACAAGCGTAGCAACAAAAGTTAACAAACAACCATTTTAGAGAAGCTTAATTTACAGAGAAAAACATTCAGCTTCAGGCTCTTTAATGTTTCGATTTATGTGTTTCTTTTTTTCTAAAATGGTAAAGTGTATACTTTTGATTAATGTACTGCTTGTTGGATAAAACAAATCATTTAAACCAAACACTAGCCAAAGAAGTTGTGAAACGTGGAGTTCTAGAGTATATTATTTTGCTTAAGGTTATACAATTAAAGATAAATGGAAATAATTATTATTATTAAATTATAAAAATGATTGTAAGTTGCAGCCATACTCTTTAGTTCAGCAGTTGTATCATCCCACTTAAAGAGTATCTGCTCTCCTGTTTACAGTATGTCCCACCTGTAATTACAAGCATGTCTGCTAGTGTTGTGATGCCAACATATTAGTCATAATAATGAACAGTGGCCCAATTATGGTTGTTAGGGTGAGCAGTAAAGAGAGCCATGCAGTCGCTATGTGATCATGTCTGTGATCTTAATTGGTAAGATTGGCTGGGTCCTCTGGTGCGAAGCACAGGGGAAGACTGCACGTGACTAATGCATCTATGCAATGGAGTAGATCCCCATCAATTCCAATCATGACGCACCATGTAGTGTTTATCTTCCTAGGAAGGCTGTACTGGTACGAGAAGGGGCGAGTATTTCTTAGATTGTGTAAAAATAAACCGGCCTGTTATTTTAAGTGTCACACACACCGTCTTTGGAATAAAAACAGTGTACAGCTCTCATAATACTGTTGTTCCCGACACAGACGTTTCCAGTAACTGTGGTGCAGTGTTTCAAATGAAGGAACAAACATGTGTCATCTGTCTTGACAGCAGCAGCAGCAGCAGCAGAATTGGGAACTTTTTTCAATGACTCAGTGTGTGGATTGTTTCCCTCATTACCCGAAGGGCGAACTCAGGGAATTTTTTGTATGTTTCATTCATGTTTTCCCTTTTGGCCAAGTTCAAACAAAGACGGTGTAGCCAGCAGTGGTTTTTCTCCAAAGCCGGATATGTCATGTGTTTGCTTTCATGAGGTCATGGCATGAATCATTGTTTGCTTTAAAGATCCTCCTGTTTGACATAGACACACACTCACACACTGTATGTAGTTTAAACAGAAGCGACTGCACCACAAAGAAGGAGTAACATTTCAACGTTAGGAAGGACTTTTCATTCCATGGATGAAAATGAAAGACGGAGGGAATGATTCCTAGATCATTTGTGGACATGAAATGTGGTTTTCATTGTACGCAAATTAGTGACGTGGACATGGTATAACTGGATCAACAGCGTGGAAGTGTTCTCTGTAGGTGTGTGTGTGTGTGTGTGTGTGTGTGTGTGTGTGTGTGTGTGTGTGTGTGTGTGTGTGTGTGTGTGTGTGTGTGTGTGTGTGTGTGTGTGTGTGTGTGTGTGTGTGTGTGTGTGTGTGTCCCAAATGCATTGAATTGTCCAGTATCCAATTCTTCTCATTCCAGTCATGAAGCACTGTCTTCCTGGTTGGATGCTTAACATATTTTCCTGAAAAATAACTCTTCTCTTTTCCTCGTTCCTTTGTGCAGGTGGAGCTGGGCAGGAAGCAGGAAGTGGTGGTTTATGACCAGAGCTCCAAAGAGGCGGGGCACCTGTCCAAAGACGGCTTTGTGCACATTCTCATGGGGAAGTTGGAGAGCACCTTCCACAAAGTCTCGCTGCTCACCGGTACGGCAGAATGTGTGGAGTATTGGTGTGAGAATGGCGCGGATGTTTGTTTTTTATGTACACAAAAGACATGGCAGGTGTGCCTCACCACAGCACCTCTGCCTGACTTCAGTGCAGTTGTTTGTCCTTCCACTGTTTGGTCAGCAGATGGCGCTAATGAGCAAAACAACTGTTCTTACCCTCATATCATAACTTGTTCCTCATTTCTTAACTGGCAGTCATCACAGGTCCACAGGTACGTGTGGAGATAAAAAGGAAAGGAGGAAGTATAAAATCCCACATACAAAGCCTCTCTGGTGACTCTTTGATGTTTGAGCTTTCCCCACAGTCGCTCTGTTACCCAGCATCACTGAAATAAAGCTGAAGATTAACTTCAATCCTCTGGCCTTATTTACCACAGTTATTATCCTGTCATAGTGTCCACTAAGCACACTAAGACTTATAATTGAGCCCCGGCAAGACTGTTAATAGCCTCGTTGAGTTAATAACATCTCGACTGCGGTGGCTGCAGCTTTTAAAAGGGACGACATCACGCACACATCCACCAGCATAAGTCTTATGAGTCCGTCCCAAATGTGTCGGCACAGAATGGAGAGCGTAATCTGCCTCACTCAGGATTGGAAATGAGACGGCAGAGGCATGCTGCTCGGGCAAATCTCTACTCTCTCCCCCACATCCCCATTCTTCTCCTCCTCTCGGTCCTCTGCCACCGCTGGGAGATTAGTGCTTTTTCATGAGTCATTCATAGATGTCGAGGATTGCCTCAAAGCACCCGGGCTCCACAATTAGTCACAGAGATGTACTGAACACATGCTAAGGCTGGGCAGACCCGCACACACAACCATGTTCGATATCACACACACTTGTCAATTGTCTCCTAAAGCTAGGATTTTCCTCCTCAGCTTTTTTGATCAGACGTCATACACTTTTTAATGAAAGACGACTTCCCCTCCTCTTCCTCTTTATCAGTCTCCTCAGCTCACTATCACATTTCTACAATTTCTCTCCCCGCTTTCTGCTGTTTCCACGACAACAGTGGCAGAGAATATTCCTCAGAAGGATTCAGCCAATGGGAGTGGCCGTTGTTTGGGTGGTTGTATTATTGGGGTCAGTGGAGCTAGCAGCCTGTGTATGTGCATACTTGATGTCTATGTGTGTATGGGTGGGCAGATGGAGTTGCGTGTACGCACAATCGCATACATGCATTTTTCCCTGCATGCATTAGATCATTATTACATGCACAACTTGCTGCAGGATTTACTCGTATGTCGAGGGAAGCTGCAGAGGTTTCTCTAGAGAGATAGCGTGAGAGACAAGAATGCTCGCCAGGGAATTCTTTAAGGATTTTTAACTATAAATCATTTTAATTAAGAAGGTATAATGCCAATTAGAACATATAAGGGAAAGACCATTTCAATGATGGGCTTAACAAAAGCAAGGAGCCTGTGGTCTGGGAGGGTGTTTCACTTTCTATTTGGGGCGGAAAGAATTTGTGAAGTCAGCTTCAGAGCCTGCTGTGGTACAAAGTGTGTGTGTGAACAAACTGGGCTCTTCCCACACAACAACCTCAAGCATGCATTTGAATTGTTTTATACTTCTGAAACAATTAATCATACTACAGAAACATATCGACCACAAATGATAATCGGCATTTATTGTGTCAGACAACTAAACAAAGTGACGATGTCACCACTTGGCTTTTTTTGACAGGCGTGTTTCCTCTATTTTCAGACATTTATAGGCAGAACAGTTATTGATGCATTAAATCATAATACAAGTTATCATAAGTTGAGGCCCTTCTTTTCTCCTCCCTTCCTGTTCCTCTGTGTTGGCTTTACTCACATTCTTAAAGATTGGAGTTTTCAATTGCGAAACAGTAATGCTCTTGTCTCGTTTCCCCTTCATTCACTGCCCTCTTTCTCCCCCTACCTCCCGCTTTTCCACTTCTCCCCTTGCCCCTCTTCTGAACCTCAGATTTATGATTCAAATAATTCCTGCGATGACTTCATATCTGACTGACTTATTTTCAGCCTCACGTATGCAGCAGACCACACAGGCACACGTACAGCACACAGCCAGACAAGTGATGGGTGATGCTGCTGCAAGAGGGGGGTCTAGGAATGAGGGTCAGATAGAGACATGAATAGAAAATAGTCCTTAAATGGGATGGACAGGGCGGATAAAAGAATAATGACTGAGCTTCGGTCTGAGGGGGAATAAGGGCTTTTGTTTTGATCTTATGCAGAAGCTTCCTACAGGGGGATGAAGGCCGAGGCACTCATCTCTAAAGTGGTCTCATAGTTTCTACATTTAAAGTAATTTCTATTGACATGATGAAAGAGGGGAATTCATTGCAGGAAAGATGACAGATAATCAGCTTGACTTACATGTTACACAACCTAAGTGTGAGTACTGGGAACACATTGATCTAAAAAAAAGAATCAGTGACCCCTCTTAGGTTTCTCTTCTCTCTCATTCACCATATAATCAATAACTCCGAAAGCACACCACTTCCTACATGTGGATGATGTCATGGAGCAAATCCATGTCCCAATAGGGCCATTGTTTTTGTGAATGACTTTCAGTGTTTAGTTTTAAATCTATATATTCCAGCAGGATGTGGTGGTGGTGGCTGTTGGGAAATGTTTATGCGTGCATCTGAATGCATGTTTATATGTTATTACTTCATCCACTGTGTGAGCGTGTTTGTGAGAATCATGTCTCTCTGAGGACAGCAGTATTTTTACCACAGCCATGATCTCACCCGGTTGGAGCTCAGGCTGATGTGTCTTGCCTTTTTCAGAGTTCTGACTTTTTGTGTGTGTGTTTTTGTGTAGAGGAGGAGAACAACGCTCGGTTGGAGCCAGCTGCCTCCCCAGTGGGTCTAAAGTTTACGTGTTTCCCACCAATCTGCAGCACAGAGCCAAGGCAAAGACCACACTGCCTGCTAGTGTGTAGCTAGGTGGCGTGTTAGCTGATGCTAACTGCGTTGCTTTGTCAAGCGTCACTTCTCTGGTGTCGGCCTGCCACCATAACATGTTTTGATGGTGGCATCTAAACTTTGCGTTCCAGTTTTAGCAGTTTGTCTGATGCCGAGACAGAATAAAAAGAAAATATTATTTCACAAATGAAAGAAAGTCTGGAATAGGCACCTAGGTTCTGCAGATAAAAACAGATTCGGATAACGGTTTCAAGAGGATGGTGATATGAATGATAATGTGTTGTATTCATAGCGCACACGTTTCAAATGTAAGCTGTAACAAATGCAAAAACAGGGACACAGAGGTAGGTCATGAAAGAGAAAAAGGAACAGGGATGCAGGTGTATTTGATCAAGTGTGTGTGTGTGTGTGTGTGTGTGTGTGTGTGTGTGTGTGTGTGTGTGTGTGTGTGTGTGTGTGTGTGTGTGTGTGTGTGTGGTTCCAGCATGACGTGATCTCACTGCTCTGCTTGCCTCCTGCTCTTCTTACCCTTCTCCTCCATCAGAGTCCCTTACTGGTTAAGAGGGCCACACACACACACACACACACACACACACACACACGATCAATGAAACAGTCATATACTCTAGCATGCAAAGAAGAGAAAGACATTAACTCTTGGATGCACGCTTAGAAGACATGCTTAAAATTCCACGCAATGTGGATAAAGATTAGAGCTCGAGAGGTGGGTTTAGACACACACATACACACATAAACACACACACACACACACACACACACACACACACACACACACACACACACACACACACACAGTGGCGGTTCTAGGCCAATTTGACTGGGGGGGCCAGGCTGGGGCCAGTTATTTTCGGAGGGGGGCACAATAAATGCAGGACGAAAAAGACAAAGACAGTATGAAGTAATTGCGCATAAGAAAACAATAAAATGAGCAGTTATTGGTATTTGTTTCGGAGTACACATATTTATTTCAGATACTTATAGGTTACAATGGTTATTTGCTCTAATGGTCCGACTAGAATGGACAAATAGGGCGGCGTTAGTCCGCCTATATCCGTCAGCCAGAAATCGTTTAATCAGATAAACTTTGTTTTATTTTTATTTATTTGTTTCATTTTCAGGGGGCACAGGTGGTCCAACGTCAGCGTAGGGGCCTGCCCCCCCTAGAACAGCCGCTGCATACAAACACACACACCACACACACACACACACCACACACAGCAACACCACTGAATATAACATCTAAGCTTAGAACAAAATGTGTTCATGTTTGTCACATTTAAGTTTATAAAGTCACTTACAGGTATGTGTATGAGATACACTTTCTTGAGGGAAACATGGGAAAACGCTTTTAAAGCATGACTGTCAGACTCAAATGAACACAAATGTATTTTATACAAGAGATTAAATATGACATGCATAATAACCTCTGGTTTCCTTTCTGTACAAGATGCAGTTTGCCTGTTTGTTATACCAAGTAGGGAGGAACTCCTGTGAGACAGTCTTGTCGACAGGCCATAAATACTTGTTTAAGCGGGGCTTTGTGTATAAAGGTTGATTCACAGTGCGATACCTCGGGGCTCGCTGGCTGCTTTTTAAATGCTGTATCTAGAGAGCCTTCGTTGAACATGCCCAACCCGCCCCTGTACTGTGCAATCATCCAGCATGGATTCGGAATAGTTTGTTAAAGCTGTTACCCTAGGCAGGTGGTTCAGACAGATACAGAGGTCAACAGGAGCTGAAGTTGACCAGCGTGGCTAAAACCAGCGTCGCTTTCTCCTTGGGCTGTTTCGCCCCATCGGCCACCTCATAACTCTGAACTCCACCCTGAATGCGAGGCCAAGACCGCTGCTGTAGTTTGGTCTGAGCGTAGCTGCTGCAGGCTTTGGATCCTGATGACTCTGACACACACGTGTGGAGTGGAAAATTTCAAGGCCACAAGAAACTGGGGGGAAAGGAGTAGTTAAAAATGGATGCTAGTTCATTCCTACCCAAAGCTAGCACTGCAATTTCACCAGATTCCATTCGATGCTCGAACTGC